ACAAAGTATTCCATCTAAGAGGAAGAACAAGAGCGGTTGAGGAATCGAGAGAGAGAGAGGATACTGGCGGAGCCACTTTGATTAAAAAACACGGAGCCAGGTGTTGAGCTCCGTTTGTTGTATACGCACGCACACGCGTGCAAGCGAGGCAATAGCACGCGTACATCCACCGGCACGAGCTTCGTGCAACAGCCGACAAGCAGATGTTTCGACTCTTGGGAGGCTTTAAAAAAAAATTCCACCCTGCCTCTCAATATATTCCAACGAAAGAACGAAAGACCGCCCTCTAATGCCATCGTTTCTACGAGAAACTTGTTTGTTCCGTGTACATATATATATATATATTTGTGCACGTGAAAATGCAATAAAACGCAATATCTGCTTCACCATGCTGGAGATCGCGCATAATGTTTGAGAATTACGATAGTGAGATTTCTGTTCCCTAGAATGTTGAATCTTGAGTAGAAGTATTGAGCTAATAATATCAATTATGAATTGGAATTAATTGAATTCTTTATATCTAATCTAAGTGTTGTCTTAATTGATTTCGATACATTCTAGAACGAGATTGGAGAAATTAGGTTAGGTTTTTGAATAATAACAGCTTTGGAAAAAAATAAAATATAAATTCTTCAAACAAAGTGATCCTTAATTTTTTCCACAATATTAAGGATCCAACTAACGAAACAAGTTTAAAAAGAATTTTTTACCGACAATCGATAACAGCTTGATTCTAGGTAACCAGGAAATTAATTCAATCCATTTCATTTTCTTTTAAAAAAATATGTATATATATATATCTCCTTTGAAAAGCAAATCGAAATAGCATCGCGACGCAATGGAAAATGTTGCATTCACAGGAGTGAAAATAATAGCCTCGAAGCGGAAAGTGAATACGAGTCTCTCTCAACCGACTCGTCGTGGAAAACAAACGCCCTTTCATCGAGCCTGCTCTCGCAGTTTGCGCCCTCGATAAATTCTTAGAAGCGACTTCTCTATTGTCTTAGAGCGGCGTTTGACGTTGGACGGCGTCTACTTTATCGCGGCAGACGAGAAAAGAGAGAGAGGGGGAATTGAAGAGAGATGTTCTAGCGCATAGCCACTCGTGCGTTCATAGCAAGACAAAACCCTCAGACGCGTAGGCTTCAGGTGGAGTGCATCAGCTGCCACTTGGACACGCGCCATAGAAACCTCTACTGTGTTTCCTTATCCTTTTTTTTCTCTCCTTCTTCTTCTTCACTCTCTTCCTTCCTTCCTTCCTTCCTTCCTTCACTGGTAGAACTTCACTTGCGTGGAATAGAGCAGATCTCGACTGGTTCAATTTAGAACTGTGCGTGGAAGATCGTAACGCTTTGATTTCAATTTCTCCACTTCTAGTTTTTTATTTTACAACTTTTTCTTCTTTTTTATCTTGTATATCCTGCTCTGTTAGCAAACAGAGCAATTTTCTGTTTTCTGTGAAATCGCTTTCACGGAATTAATTTATTCTTTACACGAAACTTTCATAGTTATTATTTATTTCAATATTGTCATCGATTATCAAGCAAAGCAATATTATAAATTAACATTACTATAAATTCGACTTTTCTATACTCATTTATTCACGATTGACAAATCTTAAAAACTTAAAACAAGGAATTCAATTTCCTAATATTTAATCCTTTTGTTTCATCATGAAATTGTACAAATTTTTTTTCTACACTCGATTTAATAAATCTCGAAAGAGATTTTTCCCCCGGCCGAAAGAGATTCGGAAAACTGGGGTTCATTGAAGACAAAGATAGAAAAGTGGACGAGGAGGCGCAATCTCTCGTGAAATCGCGCGATTCACGTTACGTGTATACGGGAAATTAACGTCACGTAATTAAACGGCGTCGCGTGCAAAAGTGGATTCGTGTGCGAGGTACTCGCTCGGTGCTCACGAGAATTCTCCTCCCTTTCTCTCTGTGCGTTTCTCCGCTTGAAATCTCCGCGTAGATTTCGAGAAAGAAAAAGAAAAAAAACAAGAAGAAAGAAAAGGGAGAATCTTTTGTGAGCGTTCTTTTTTTTTTTTTTTAAAGAGGCAACGGCTGTTTTAAATCGGGAAACAAGCTGTTCAAAAAGTAAACCATTGCGCCTTTTCACGAATCATTTCGTGCTAAAGAAGCTATTTCGTTAACAGGTTCGCTTTTCAAACGGTTGTTTCACGGTTCTCTGCCAACTTTGGATATTTTATATTTATAGACACCTGGCATTACGCAATCGATAATCATATGCATTCTAATTATATAACTAGGAAGAAGGATCGATTATAACGTATATGATTACGTATATTTTTCCAAGTATTTGTTTATAAAAGTTTTTATAAAAATTTGTCAAAGTGATTTTTCCTGAAAAAATATCTTTTTAAATTAAAATATTCCTCCTAGTTTTACAAAGTTAATATATACGAGAGATAAAACAAAAGAGAACGTAAATTTTTATAGAAAATGAAAGGAAATATAATAATTTAAAAATATACGAATGGAACTTTGTATGTTCGATCGCCTGCGAAAATTTATAATTCTATAATTTTTGGGATCAGATTGGAATAGAAAATTCTGTAAATTTAAATAAAAAAAGGATCGAAAATCGTAATATTATTTAACGAATTGTTTTGTTAACGATGAAATTGCTTCAAAAACATTTTCTCGTTTTTTTCCCCCTAGTTTTGCTCGAGAGAGCGGGAACAGCAGCAATGCTGATAGTGCTCGCGTGCTACTACTAAAGGAAATTATTTCACGCAACTGAGGGATCGTTTGAATCTGCGAACACGCGCTAGCAACCGTTAATGGCAATCAACGGTTGTTAATTGTTCAATGATAATTAGCCGAGACGCGAAGAAGCGGAGTTGTGGTAATGGAGCACGCCTTGATAATTTCTTTAATGAATTCGGGACACATCGTGCGTGGCTTCTTCCGTGTGATGAAAATCAACCAGCCCCCTTTTCGTGTCTTGTGTCGATAACTGGTTTCTTTTTTTTTTTTTCTTTGTTCATTTAGAGATATAAAATAATTTTTATAATAATCTACTCGAGATAAAATCGTACGGTAAATTTGAGGTTAACACAAGTTGAATTGAATATTTAATTAGGAGGAGGTAATCAAGCGATGTAAGGAATGTTTAAGTTGGAAATTAAACAGTTTGGAAATTAGAAAGAGAAGAAGAAAGGTTACTAAAAATTTGAAGGATGGAAATTCCTAGGACAAAACAGACGAATCTAGGGAATTCTCTTATTACAGAGAATTGTAATTTTTAACAAACAAATTTAGAATCGAACTCTGAAGATCGATTATTAAATTGAAAATTTAAAGTATTGAAAAATGAAGAGATTTATTTATTTAACGAAATTAATTGGAACATTGATGGTGGAAATATTTTGAGAATCAAAGTTAAAAGTAAATGCGAAATTGTATGTCGATATTTATCACTCGAGTACAATTTAATATCTATTCGACAAAGATCCTTTCCCTCTTGTACCCGATTTATCTTTAGCAGAATTAGAAGATAAAATTGCACTCGAATATTTCATCGTGTATATTTCGAGAGAAGATTTACGCGTGTAAAATATCACGTGGGAACGCGATCCACACTCGACAGATATTCTGTTCCCTTTTATGCATATAATTAACGCGAATAAGTCACAGCAGAGCCCGGTCTAGAGGGGTTCTTTGGGTGAAAAATTTCCATAAAATAGCCGGAAACTGTTTGCGTAACTCGAGCCTGTGTAGCGCGAGCTCGAAACGAGCCATCGCCCGGAAGTGAACCATGAATTAGGACACGCTGCGAATTACGAATCATAAATTATATTTATACGATTGTTCAATTGTTCAATCTTACAGACGTACTCTACGTCCCTTTCCTTTAATTTCTTTCAATAAATTACACTTAGACTCTCGTTGCGGTTAATTTTTAGTTAGTTTTCTAGAGGGTTCTAGAGAGTGACTGAGTATCTGGTAATTTGTAAGTTTCAAACAATAGAGAATTTTTTATTCTCGGAATCCTGTAAATTAAAGATAAAAATATCGTTCCAAATATTCAAAGATTAAATAATAATAATAATAATAGTGGAAATGGTAAGGTTGATTTCATATTAATGAAAAAAATGATAATAATAATAATAATGACGATGATCATTATCGACGTATTATAAAGATATATGAAGATATATAGCATAAGTACCGGTTGATGAAATTGGTAGGCGTGGAATAGCCCATCTGCAGCCTTGATCTGATCACCTTCTCCTGAACGGTGACAATCCTGGAACTCTTAGAGCTCTGGTGCACCTTAGTGGTTCTGATTACTTGGTAACAGTGATGTTTCGTTTGGGTGTTGACCACCCTGTCGCTTCTTGGCTCGATCATCATGAACATGATTACTTTCACTGATCACCACCAATCACTTTTATCACAGAATGTGGTCTCGCTGTTTATCACTCCCTCCCTCACTTTCATATTTTTATCTCTTTTTGTTATTTTGTATATACCACCGTCTTTAATTACCGATTATCACAATATTCTTTGGTTTGTCTCGTAAATATCGAAAACGTCTTAATTATTCGAGATACATTTCGGTATCCAATAGACCTGAAGTTTGTAGAAAGGTAAGAAAAATTGTACATTTTTGATATTTTTCTTTCAAAAAGAAAAAAAAAAGAATGGAAAGAGTACAAAGAACGAAATATCTGACGACTTTAAAATAAATAATTTTCAAAGAAAAGGACGAAAAATTATTTTTTTAAATTTCTTTCTTCAGAAAAGAGGATAAAAGTTCGAGCGATAAATTGTGATTAAAGTTGGCAGGATTTCTAGTGGAAACTAGGGAAGTCAGAAGTTTAACTTGGATATCGAAGAGGTTGCTTGAAATTTTAATCATGGTACTTAGTAGTTGGTTTGTAGATACTTAGTAATTGATTTGATTAATTGAATGCTTAGGAATTATTTAACGTGGAATAAATCGAAAAGCACTTCAGAACTATATAACTAAATATAAAATTTAGAAGTTTTTTAAAAACTTTAAACTTTAAAGAGTTATATAATTATAATTTAATAATTTAGAAAATATTTAATATTATTTAGATAATTATCTAATTTTCTTTATAATTCTAAAAATATAATTTCCATTTTTTTTCAGTTCACCTACTGCACGTTAATTATAAAAACACTCGATCTGAAAGAACAGAAGCAGAATAACTTTTTTTATCGTCAAAATCGACAGTATTAATTAACATTTTTTAATTCAATGAAAAACACGATTATCATACATTTCAATGAAACTGTAATATCGACTAAATTTAGCATCGTGTCGATGCTAAGAAGAATATTTATCAGTCGCATTAAATCATTCGCTCGAAGAAAGTTCATCTCCTTAATAGATATAATATTTTTTTACAATTACTTAATAATTAACTCTCGTATTGTATTCGAATTTATATCTTTCTTCCTTCTTCTTTTCTATTATTTGTTGTTTGTTAAGAATGAAACTGCTTAATATGAATGAAAAATATCGTTTTCACTGATGCTTTTTTTCCCGATTAATTAACCACCACCGATCGCGACTTTCTAACGACAATAATGAATTAATATACATGAGCGTGGACCGGATAATAGGAATGAAATTACTTTTTCATTTCGCAATCGATTTTCGTAATCTTCCGTGAAAAAGGCCAAACTTTCGAAAAATGGTTAGATGATAGAAAAATAAAATTAATTCTTGATATTTATAAATTAAAAAAATTAAAAATTTCACATTTATAATCGAAGAATCTAAAATATAAATTAAATATGTAATAAAAATGTCCAAATATATAATAAAAATAAAAAAAAAAAAAAAAAAGACGAGATTGAAATCATAACCTAACTTTCCATGGCGAAATTTGTCGCATCTATTCCGATAATAATCAGACTTTTATTTTCTTCCATTATTCTTCCATTATTCTTCCATTATTCTCCCATTGTGCCCGATTTCCATTGGATTATTAATTTATACGAAAACGATTTTCCGTCACTGCTTTATTCCCTGTAATTAATCGCGTTTTGTTGGCGACGCTCGAATTAAATCGTTTTTGTAATCTCCCGCGAACACGTTTAAACATGGCCGACGCACACCGAAACATCTCGTCTCTGGGTATAATTAATGATACAGCTTATGATACTTAATTGTATTCGATAATTACGATCTTATTGTACCTTCTCATCGTCATTTACGTCGACGCCATAATTAGCTTTTTCTATTTTATTTAATCACTCTATTGTTATTAATCTCTGTATTATATTCGCATAATATAAATATAAGGGAAAATTAAAAAAAAAAAAAAAGGAGAAATTTAATTTTGTGAACATCTGTTTAATATATTTTTTTTTTTTTTCATAAGATCAATACTGAATAAAATTGCAATCTCAATCGTAAAATAAAATCTTCTATCTATGTTTTACTTCAAAGATTAATTGACTCGATTGATAGATCAGCATAATAAAAAAAAAAAAAGAGAGAGAGAGAGAAACGATGTTTGTTTTAACGAATTTATAAGCATCGAAACACGCAGGAATTTTTTTTACCGCGTTAAAATACGGTGATCACCATCGGTGGCTCATTGCTATTCCAACGCATTTTTCGTACGTGAGGCCTCGATCCAGTTAAAGAGGAACAAACGGTATCCACTGACACGTTCTAGTTACACGAGCATAAGTTAATTGTATGCGAATGATTTTTTTCTTTTTTATATAATCGTGTCAACGAAGTGGTGGCATCGAATAAAAAGAACCTCTTGAAAACTTGGTGACTAATTTCAATTCGATTTTAATATTCAACTGTTCCTTTGAAATTAATTTTAATTAAAAATATTGCGTAACTTTAAGGAGAGAAGGAACAACGAGAGTTTTAATCTCGAGGAAAACAGAGCTGGTAATAAGATATTGAGTGAATAAAGATTTTGTTAATTTCGTGGTACAAAAGAGTGGTCCAAAGGAGATCATCCCCTGAGAGATTCTCTTGATATAATTTAAAATTAAGTTCTTTGTTTTTCATTCTATTTTTGATCCTCGAGAATTGAATTATATAATCGCAATATTTTGATTTAAGTTAAAATATCGCGCATTAAATATAATAATTTATAATTTATATTTTAAGTTCAAGATTCAAGATTCAAGATTCGTTTCTTTCGATTTTGTTTGTTTCGACACGTTTTACGATTGGTATAAAATAATATAAAATATTCGATTCGTGTGATGAATAATGGATGGCAAAAAAAAAAAGAAAAAAAAAGAAAAAAAATTGATTGATTAACTCGATTCGATGTTTTTTTAATTACTTTTAACGGGACGCTCCTTATCCACCCATTGCACGTTTTTTCAC